TTAGATTTTACTAATTACCTATACACATACATTTAGTTTATTTACCTGCCCTGCCTATAAAGGTATTATAGTATTAATAAAAAAAACACCGAATATTATTGAAATAAGGAATAACAGGAAAAACTGATATACATAATTATATGGCGCTTTTGACTGATATTTATTGGATTTATTACAATATCTAGAGAGCTAGTTATTTTGTTACAAAAGACGTAAAAAGTTACAGCATGTTAACAATAATTAGTAAATTAAATTCTCATTTTAAGGTTTTAAACACAATGACATGTTTTTAACGGTTCGAAATTCGAAGGATATAATATTTATAAACCTATGAAATGGTCATATGTGCCGTAGACAAACGGCAAATGCGTAGATAAAGATCTAATATTTAAATAAAGAATGTAGAAAAGACAGCTAGTGTTGGTTTTTAATATAAATGTTGTAATGTCATGTAATGTGTGCTAGGAAAGTAATTTATGAAAAATGCAACAAGTAATTTGCTTGCAATTAAAATATTAATAAATGTATAAAAATATACGAACCGCTGAGCATTTTTGTAGGAATGCAGTTTCATTTACTACCTTAGTCTTATTGTTATAAAGTTTTTATTCTGATTTTAAAATCCATAACTAAAGACGGAAAATTAGGGCCAACTGCGTTTAGATGCTAGAGATTTCTTGGGTTTCAGATCTTTTTAATTTTTCTTTAAAATCTGTCAAATTAAGACTATTTATAATGATTTTAGTTTATGATGAGAACCTTATGTATTAATAGTATGTGCTTGTAAAATGTAAGTAATTGAATTTCAAGTAATAAAAGATTGTTAGAAATAAGTAGGTACTAGGCACAGTTGATTAAAAAAGTGGTTTGTTTGTATATCTCATCCTATATTTTTTGACAATATAATTATGTAGAACATTGTCATGTTAATACCTACTTGAAAGTTGAAACTTAAACTTTCTGCTTATATAAACTTGAAAGTAATTAGGATTTACCCGATCACTACGCCGTACTTTCGAGGTCGAAGCTTTTCGAATAAACCCAAAATTTTCGAGTCAGAGTATCGACTCGTTATTTATTATTTTGGTAAACTTTGTATTTTTTTTATGGCATAAACCGGTAAACGAGCAGACGGATCACCTGATGGTAAGCAATCGGCGTCGCTCATGGACACCTGGAACACCAGAGGCGTTAGAAGTGCGTTACCGACCTTTTGGGGATTAGGTGTTTGAGGATCGTTAGGGATTAGGGAGATTGGGGAAGGGGAGGGTAATTGGGCCTCCGGCCTCCGTAATATTTTAATTTACAATTTTATTAAATTGTGTCAACATTTGATAATGATGTCAACATTTTTACTGTTTTTATTTCTCCTTAGCGCCACATTTTTAATCTACTGTGCTCGAATAAGCGTGAATAAGTAGAACCGAGTTGTTTAGCCTTTGAATGTACTTCTTTACATGTATCTTATTCTTTATTTCTTAAGAGATGTACTATTATATTTTATATAGAATCAATTGTACACACAATAGTCTTATGATCTGCCTTAGACCACAATTTGATAATTGGTTGTAAACACAAAAATAATGTTGTTGATAAGCACCGAAATATTATTATATCTTACAGTGTATGTAACTGACAAGCAATAAATAAAATGTTTATTATATTTTTCTTTATTTATTTATGTTTTAATTATTTAAAAAAGTCTGTTTATGTTAATAGTAAAGTGCTCTTTATAGTCTTCTTCTTAATTAAGTAAGACAAATTTTTTTTTATTTTTTTTTTTTTAAAAAACGTTGCCCCACACTAGGATTTTCTCCTGTGTCGTGGGTGCGTTTACAAACATACAAGTTCACATACACAATGACACCCAGACCCGAAACAACAATTTGTGGATCACACAAAGTGTTGTTCCGTGCGGGAATCGAACCCGCGACACGTTGCACGGCAGCCGGTTGCCCAGCCACCGCACCAACCGTGCAGTCAAATACCAATAGAACCAGTATGTTCAATTCACAATACATCGTTTATATATATGGGACCTTGAATAAACAATAGATTAGACCTAACTGTAATCTGTTATATTGAGATAATTAATTGCATTATGAAGATAGGATATTCCAAAGCGACGCCAAACCTCAAAACCGGACCGGAATGCGATGCAATCGTAAATGTATTACAACTGATTACATCACAAGTCCGCCACCGCAATGATAATACAAACACACAGACAAGTTCAAACCTGCATAGAGTGACGTTTTCCTACCGCGAATTTGAGTCACAGTGTGTCTGCTCGCCTTTATAATGTGTGAGCGCGGTGCGTCACTGTGTTAGCGCTGTGTGCACAGTGCATTATCGTGTCTAGTTTAGAAAAGGTACACAAGTATGGCAAAAGTGCATCCAACAAAGCAAACTTTAGTGCTGTTCTATATGTTTAGAGAATTATTACTTCCTCACATTAAAATTAATGTCTTATAAATACAGTGCCAATCTATCTTTGAAATAGGCACAGACAGAGATAGCCGCTTGGCGCCGTCAATTACGTCGATAGACATTCCTTTGTTTTCAATTTGCTCTACTTGGTGCAATTGGCGGGAATATATCGCAAGTATAACTCAGGTCATTTCATATAGGTACTATCTTGGTCCTAGTCTAAGTATTTTATTATACCTTTATAGGTGCGTTCATGTGTTTGATATACATAGACCTAGGACCTAGTTAGTTATGGTTGCACCATGACATTATTTTATGCTATAAGATAATCGAGTGCCTTGACCTGATCAGTCTTGTCTTGACTAGTAAGGGCATAGTAGGTACTATTGTTTTCTATATGAACTGACGATGATGAGAAACATAGGTACCTATCTAACATAAAAGGTTCATTATAATGTTGAGTGCTAAAAAGCTCATGATATCTGACAAGATTCTAGGATTGAAAAACCTGTGATAAATAAAAATATAGGTATTAAAAACCTGTTTACCTACCCATATAATATTTATAGGTACATGTAAACTATAAATAAATGATAAAGTTTGATTAATTGCGTTCGTGATTGGCATGAGATGGACTTGCGCCCATGTGAACAGCACTAGGTATGCGAGCGACATGTCGATACACGACCAGCCGCACCGTTAGCCAATGCGAAGCGAAGTTATAGCGACTGGTTCGCTATCAAATTATTACGCACCAAGCCGAGTGCAGTGACATAGCTACTAAGACTAAATAAAAACATTCTAGTCGTATTTAAAGTGATAAATCAAAGTTAATATATTTAATTAAACATTATTTATTAACTTATTATGGGTTTCTTTTGCAAATTTCAAGAGCACAAAGTAAGGAAATATTCTAAAAGTAAACTCATTGAAAGAGCCAAGAAGTTAACAAAATATGTTTGCGTAAACACAAAATTCGGGAGTGTCATTATTAATTCTATTTATTTGCGCCTTTTGATGGATGCTAGTATAAGATTGCGATTGAAACGGTGAGTTGAAATTTTAATTTTTATTGTTTTATGCCTTTGTTTTGTCATTTTGTCCTAGCAAATCCGAAATAAAATCTCTCTCAGTGAAAATCAATTTCAAATATTTTGTTCACAAAGATTATTCAATAAAAAAAATAGAACAGATTGAAATGTTGTTATAACAACCTTTAAATTTCCATTTTTACCTTTAACCATCCTCTAAGTCTAACTAAACTAACATATTAAGTAATATTTTTGTATTCCATTACAAAAAAAAAACAACTAAAACAAGAGATATTTTAATTTTACGCGCGAACAAAAACTTTGTTTTACTGATATTCTCGACTTTCTACTAATATTTAAGAAATTTAAATGCTCTCTTTTGCTGCCATACTGCTTGACAAAATTTATTTGTGATGATTTTTTTTTTATTTTTGATATCAGTTAGTTGTTGGCTATAGGTTATTTATATTTATATATTTTTTACGACTCCTTATAGAGATGATTAAGAAAACTATTCTGAAATAGTCTTTACACTGACTCAATAGTCAGTCATTTAGCCTACTGTTCAAATCGCAAGTGTTGATTGGTGCCTTATGATTTTTATTAAGAAATACGAACTTGAGTCCTCTTGTTCCGATATAAAAATAAAATAAAATATAATTGGAGTTTTTGTAATATATATCAATATACAGACGTCACACATGCCAAAATATTTTATTTTACATTTTTTGTGTCTGTCTGTTTGTGCTGTACTGACTATTCTCTGGAATGGTTGAACCGATCATGCAAGACTTTTACGGGCAGAATGTACTAAGGAGTAACATAGGCTACTTTGCTTTGGAAAAATGAAACAAAAAATGTTATAAAATTCATTCTACGCCAACGAAATCGCAGGCAACAGCTAGTATAACTATACAATAAAAAACATTTCATTATTTCATGAATGGGCCGCTTTGTGTATGGCAACAACGCTTGGTTGCTAGCATAGCGAGAATATCAGTTGACTTTCAGAAATGTTCTTATGTTGGCTACAGTGACGCGACAAACTTCGAAACTAAAGTAGTCGTTCCAGACCTTATTCACGATAACATTTCATCAAATAATCAAATTTTGTGGATTTGTATGCATTATTATAAATTGTCTTATTAAAAATGTATATTGTTTACTAACTTTTTACGGTGTTTCATACTTATAAATAATTTGATTTGTTTTCTGTGCAGATGTTGGTAACATTGTAATGTTTTCTTCGGTGCGTGCACACTGTAGTGAAGTTCGCGCTGTTGTACTTGTAATCTAAAAACACATTTAGTTTTAGTTTGTGTTTATAAGATTTGATGTTCATCAAAGTGCAGTGCGTATTATTGGATGTTAGTGAAATAATGAAGATAAGTGTGTTTATCGCTATTTAGCGATGTGTGTATTTCGTAAATTGAATTGATGGTGATATAATAAAATTCATGGTGTTTCCGATTTTGTTAGTGCAGTTTGTAAAGTATAGTTCGAATCATAGGGTCCACAAACGAGGAGACGGATTCTATCATGGTCGTAAAACGGTAAGTTTTTATCTACAACGTATTACATTTTTTATATAATGTAAATGAGGGTATCAATCAGTACGGTCATCGCAAGTAAAATGCTTTGTTTCATGGGTGGATGTTATGTGCCACAAAGTAGACCAAATGTGTGATATAGGTAAAGCTAGGCGCATAGATATATATTTTTGTTTGTTTATGTTTGGTAGCAATTCGCAGTTTATGTAAGATTTCGTTATTTTTAGTGTGCAAATATTTCGTAACGTATCTGGCCATGCGTTTTACTGCACGTATTCGTATGCAAACATGCTTACGATGCGTTTTTGTCAGAATTATCGATTTTATAAACCGTGAATTCGTTCTCTAAATACCATCGTATTTTATTCTTTATTTGAATTTTTGACATGAGATTCCATTTTAAAAGCTTATCAGACATATATGAATACAGAATTTTTTCAAAACACGTTTTTAGGCCATACAAAAATAGTATAACCTGCTTTGTTGTTTTTTGTTTCATACATTCTTCCTATTGTGATATTTACTCATACATATAAAAAAAAAAACACTTAGATCAAAACTGGAAATAGACATGAATAACTGTAACACTAGTTGCAAACAACTATAATTAGTTATTCAGGTTTGTATGTCAATTAACATGCAGATCAGACAATGAGTTCCACCTTCAAGAACAAATAATTGTATTTTTTTCTTTTGTTAACTATTTTTCTGTCATTGAACATGATATAGATTACAAATTATTTTAAAATAAAAAAAATATGCCGTAACAATGTAGGTAGAATGATTTTTTCATACTGGCTAAATAATGCTGGGAATCCCCAAAACATATATCAACAATTTTTGTCAAAGTTAGTGTGTGGTGAGGAATAGTACAGTTAAGTTTAATAAAATATTAATAATTATTATTATGGTTCAACAATCATAGTTTATAATTTAAAAAATAAAATATTTATTGCTTTAAAAAAAGATTAATGCAATATTTACCTAATCCAATTTCAGATGTAAAGGATATCCTTATAATAATTGCTTTTAACAGGAAACTTAATTACATTGGTATTTTATTTATAGTAAAATTAATTAGATCAAGAATGAGATCAAGGAAATGATATCAAATACATTTACATTACTTAATGACTAATTGAGTGGTTTTGAATTAGCACAAACCGTTCACACTCACAATTAATTTGTCATTCATAGTGATTTGTAATATTTGTAGGAAAATTTGTTCATTAACAAAAATCTTATCATAAAAACACTAAGGGCCGATTTTTCAATCATCAGTTAATTCTTTACTGTACAATAAAATTGACAGCTGACAGTTTTTAGTATGGAAGAATTGTCAAATACTGAAAGTTATTGCTTAGTTAAAATTAATCTGAGCATTGAAAAATTGGTCATATGTATTCAATTAATCTAGTGGTTAGATATTTGTAACATAATAGTTTCTTAATACATATATCATACCTAAAATTTTGCTCATACAAAGCTAGTCTCTAAACATTGAAAATAAGGTCTATAATGGAGTTAGGGGAGACCGCTTGGGGATTGAGCAGTTAAAGCACTGCAATGTACATTACAAATATTGTAGATTCCTGACACATATTTTGATTCATTTCATACTGATAATTTTTTTGTCACAATATCAGTCTTTTATAGCTGGTTTTTCAATCATTAGTTAAACTGTCAAACACCTCTTTAATTGTGTCTATAATGACGGTACTCAAAGGGTTAATTCGTAGTTGTAGAATAAAATTGACATTTGACAGTTTTTAATATGGAAGAATTGTCAAATATAAAGTTATTCTTCAGTTAAAATGTATCTGGAGCTGAAAAATCGGCTCTCAGACTAACTAAAATTGGTTAGATTAATTATGAAACATCTTCTTAAGACATCTTCTTCATCCCTAAATAACTATCTTAAGTATGGACTTAAGATAGTTATTTAGGGAATATCACCAACTCTCAAATAAAAAATTATTCTTTTTAATAAACATAGTATTTCATCATGACAGGGTCGAGGTTAAGTCAACTGCTAATCAGTGGAATTGCATTGTTGCCGTTCGTAGTGAACAGACGTGCGCATTAGCAATAAGCAAAATTTGTGACCTCCTTTCACATTGTTACTTATTACTCAGTTTTTTTTTTTTTTCTACAAATATGGAAACATAAACGTAGTGAACAAGTGAAGACAAAATGGATAATAGTCCCAGTAATATCCGTGCCTGTACCTCGCAAGTGAAAAGCCAGCAACCTAGCTTCTGTATAGAAGTGGTATCCACGTCGGAACTCCAAAAATGGATGTCAACCATCGAGAAGCAGTTAAACGAAGTCTGCATTATTGCCACAGAAGGCAAACTCAACTCCGAGCAAAAATTAAGAATAACTAATTGAGCCGCAAAATAGAATCAGGTGTATCGCAAATAGCAGTCTCGTATCAGTCTTTGAAGCAGAAAGCGAAACAAGCCCTCTATATAATTGACGACCTTAGAGAAAAACGTGACCTAGCGGAAGAAATTATGGTGTTGAAAAAGGCTATCAACGACTCTGCCGCAACTAAGAACGTCTCTTTTGCCGATATGGTGAAGAAAGGGCCAAATGATTTTGTGCAACCCCAAAAGCAAAATTCTGTTGCAATTTACCCAGTGAGTAAATTAGTAAAGTGCAGTGACGAAACCAAATCTCTGGTACAACAAATCATACGGCCTGACCAAATGAAGCTACACGTACGTGGAGTCCGAAAAATTCAAAACGGAGGCATAGTAATTAGCACAGACAACAAACAGGATGCTGAGAAGGTCAAGCAGGCAGTTCATCAGTCGTCATCTGGTCTTGTCATCGGTGAGCCCAAAAAACGCCAGCCACGAATCACTGTGGTAGGCGTCCCGACTTCTTTAGTTGACACTGACGTATTGAAGTACATCTACGAGCAAAACATTGCTGAGAAGTTCCCAGAGATGACCATGGAGTCCTTTTTAACAGCAATTAAACTGAGCCAAAATCCGGAAAGAAGGATGCGCCGACCTGTAACCTTATCTTAGAAGTTCCAGCCAACATTCGCAAGGTCCTTATAGCTCAGGAAAGAATATATATAAATTGGAACTCTTGCCCTGTAAGGGATTTTACATTAGTCACCAGGTGTTATAACTGTCAACAGTACGGACATGCAGCTAAATCATGTAGAGGCCCCTCATCATGTGGACACTGCGGAGAAATAGGCCATTTATCATCGACGTGCACGAAAAAAGGAGAATCCCCTAAATGTGCAACATGTTCTCGGTTTAATAAGCCCAACAATCATAAGACGGGTGACACAGAATGTCCGGCAAAGAACATAGCTCAGCACAGGTATATCAACTCGATTGATTACGAGGGCGCGTAATGCGTCATAAGTTGATTGGCCTCCTTATTGTACAACAGTGACACTACATATTATGTTGGATTAATCATCACTTTGTTGCTATCCAGCATTTGTGCTTACTCAAACACAACCAAATGAATGACCGTATGGACTTTAGTGTTAGCCTACTTAGTTTATTTCTGCTGATGTAGATAATTCCTCGTCGATAGACATAATGTTGCTGTTTTAAACAAATGTTACTTTAGTTGTTATTTTAATATATTTATTAGGTATATTATAGTATATTTTATATGAAGATTAGTTTTATATGTATGTATGTATATTAAAATAATCATATTGTTTTCTGTTGTATAATGTTAAGTATACGGGTCTGTAGAAATAAAATGTGTTACTATAAGAATTATATTTAGAACTCCTCTCGCCTGCGATACAGGAATGTCCTAGTGCAGGCAAATAACATTGTGAGGACAATTGTACGTATTTACGCTCTGTTTTTGTATTTCGCATTTTTTGAATTATGAATAAAAATTTATTTATTTTATTTATTTATTAGTGTCAATCATTTCTTATAAATGAATCGAAGCTATGTTTCATTAGAAGTTATTTAAAAATGTAAACCTAAGATTACTCAAAATACATCAAAATGGATTGTTAAGTAGTTCAAAAAGAAATTTATATAGTGCTACATTTCAAATTCATACCATATCATATTTTACTTGTAACAGAACTGGTGAAGAGGGTATTGAACTTATAATGTAACATTAGGTATCTAAATTGGAGCTAAAATATCTCTGATTGCCCCTTTGTGAATTAAAAGGTATGATGTTGTGTTCTTTAAAATAGAAGTGTGTTTCTAAAGTTAATTCTCTCATTCCAAAGCATTGTCTGTTAAGGAACTCTCGTTGAACGAGAGGATAGGACATTTTTCTTTAATAGCAATTAACCTCTTTTGACCTCTGGCCTATGAACCACTTCAACGCGAAAAATCACGCCGTTCTGTTCCTTATTGCTTCGTTAAGGGTCTAATCGATCATTCTGTATTTGTATTATTACATAACTGTTTACTCCCTGTAAAAAATAAGCAGTTAACATAGTCATAGTTTTTGGATAGAGAAAAATCAACTTTAACACGACGAAATAAAAACGGTTTTTCCAAGTTACGCGGCACCGTGAGTATCGGAAAGTCCATTATTACGATTTATCGACCGCATAATAATCCCCAGTTGCGAAATTTATCAAACGCACAACTTTCGCTATATTTTTTTCCTTTTGTCAGACTAAAATAGCAGAGATCCTATTTGGTACAACAAAACCTTCACATTCTAATAACGTCCTTTGTTTACCGGTATATTGTTTCCTTTACTTTCAAGTACCTGCTTAACAATATTTAAAAAAATAACCTCATTAAATATGTAATCGAGATTGTGCTGCTTCCTCAATAACAATAGTTATTTAGGAACTTATTTAATAACGTGTCGATCCTTGCGTCTGCCGTGGCCTTGCTTGCCTCTATTACGCCGCTAGTATTCAAGTACAGCCATTAATGTTATTCTTACGTTGTTATCTCAGCCTGTCGACGACCTCTGTCTGTACGTCAACTTGGTCCATAACTAAACAAAGAAATCCTCAGAATCTTATCAAGTCT